TCATCATTCAAATTAACGATTGTTCCTATTGTTATCAAGGTTAAATTCATCATCTTCATCGCTCTAATAAATATTCAGTTCATTTTCATAAAATACCCATTAATTTTAGTGGCTTTTTTACGCCACAGGCACTATCATTATTGCTTGCCATCACCATTTTAACCTTTTTAAACATTACGGTTATAACAGACATTACCATTTTTATAAAATTCATCATTAACATTATCGTAAATCATCACCTTAATCACCGTCATGATTGTTTATCACCTCCTCTATCGCCAAAATCGTCACTGAGAACAACAAAATCATCAAACACAACCCAACCAAAAATATCGTCACCATCGCTATCCAAAAACATCATCATAATTATCTATCGTTATCATCAAAACCATATTTGCATCATCGTCATCCTCTTTATTATCACCGTCACAATCATCATTCATACTTTCGTCATCACCATCATCATCATCACCATCATCAGCAGCAGCAGCACCATGCCATCATTAATATTTTCATCATCACCACCATTACTCAAAATCTGCATCAATATTGTGCCACATATATCCGCAGTCTTGACGTCTTCGATTTCCGATTGCATCGCTGGTAGCGGCCACTCATTTGCTTATGCGATCCCGAGAGCCAACTCTCTTTTTCATTATACATTTCATGTCACTATACCCCTCCATTGTTATCTTCCATCGCTATTTTTTTCTTTCGTAGTTAAAAGTTAATGAAATTTTTCGAAATTATATTTTTAAATTTTCACGGAATGAGGTTTTATCATTTTATATCTATCGTGTTATATTTAGAGATAAAAAAAACTAACTTGAAAACAATTTTTTTTTAAACTGAAAAAATGTTTTATAGGTTTTTTAATTTAAAATGGTAATTATATTGTATTTTATTTAAATTATTGTTGTAGTTTTGTTTTTTCTTTAATAGTTTTTCGATTTTCAATTAATTCCTTTTGAAGTAATCAGAATTCTGCAACACATTACGGATAGATTTTCATTTGAGATTTTGACACAAGAACCATCAATCAGCGCCTAGGGAGGTCGTATAATTAATTAAAATTTGGCAATTATCATCTGATGAGGTGTGCTGGTTTTAAATTTAACGGAAAATAAGTAGTTTTTAAGTAATTATAAAATTCAACAATAAAATGTTTGTAAGTACGTTTCCATGGTTTTTCAATGCTAATCCACATTTTTGTTTCAACAATTTAAAATAATTTTTCTTTTCTATCTAAACTGCAGTGAGTTTGAAACATTAAAAAAAAACAATTAAAAGTTTATTTTTTCTTCTAACAAAAAACTTATAAAAATATACTCCCCAAATTAAAAAAATTTAAATACTAAGAATGGAACTTGAAATTGAATCATTTCAAACTGGAAATTTGAGTTTTAAATATTTTAACTTTTACGTTATGGCTTTTATATAAGCTAAAGGTTTTGAGTATTTCGTTACATATAAAATAATTTTTATGCTTCAAAGTTAACCAACTTTCAATAGATACGTAGGCATTTGGCAAAAGTGGTTACAATTTTTAGACTTCAAACTAACAATTTTTTGAAATATTCACTAAAATGGTGATTTTAATGTTTTCCAACTTCCACAGCAAAAACTTCAAACAATTTTTTTTACACAGGTAGAACTATCACAGTTTCTCAGATAATGTAAATAAAGATTGGCCATGTTACTGCTCATATGTTCTTCTCTGATAACATTAATTTGGGCATCATGCTATTTTATTTTGCATTCGAACTAGCTAGTGTAAGGTCAAACTTTAAAGTCCGAAAATGTAACGGCTAATCAAATAACTGCTTTTATGCTCTAAACTCACACAAAGCTTTTGAAGGATATTATTATTACTATTTATACTGCAAGTTATGTTATTATCATTATATATTGTTCTATATTATTTTAAAGTTAGTGTTTTCAATGAATAATTTTTTATATTTAAAACTATTTTGTTATTTCTATTGTTTAATGTTATTTATATATGCAGATGCAGCTTCAGTTGTTCATTGCAGCCGACGTTCCAATTTAAAATTTTCGCCTGAAACATAAAAAGACCTGAGGGATTGTGATATTTTGGAAGCAACCTTCAAAAGTGTGAAACTCATTTTAACCGCACCTTAATTGAGTTGTAAAGAATAAAGCAACATAATAAATGTTTGATACAATGTTGAATCAAAGTAATCGAATTATTTAGATTAATTAAATTAATAGGTACAGAAATTGTCTCTCACATTTAATACGTTCGAAACGTTTGATACATTCTGTAATCATAAAAAGAAATTTATTCGTATATATATATACACGCAAACATACGTACATACGCACATACACAACAACACATAAACACAGGCGTGCGTGCACTTGCATATAAGAATATTTGTATGTGACCTTGGAGATTTTAAATGATACTTTCCAAGAGTTATTTTTTCACTTAATTAAATTTCTCCATACAGATCCAGGAAATTTAGAAATTAAATTTTTTCTTAGACAATAATAAAGTAGCATTTTGCAGTTGTTTTTAACTTTATTTTTATGGAAAAACAAACGAAAACTGAAATCGAGAGTGAGTAAAAACATTAAACAAAGAATAAATATGGTGAGAAAATTAATTGGAAAAAATCGTGAAGATGCATTGAAATAAATAATTCATTGTCCGCTTGCAAATTAAGCGCGGGCAAGTTGCTTGCACGGTTTCGAATTAGTTGTAATTGTGTTTGCTCTTCTGTTAGATTGAAAAATTTATTTATTTTATAAATTGATTTATTATTTTGATTTTGAAAAATATTATATTATATATTTTACTAAATTAATACATTTGTAGTCTAATAAACTTTCAAAATGTTGTTCAAGGACACTGTTTTAATTCTATTAGATATGATTAAAAGTTATTTGCTGCTATAACTACTACACAATGTAGCATATTTCACTATTTTTTTCAATATTTTTTCAAAAGCCTAACTTGAAAACAATTTGACATTTAGTCGAGGCGTGAAGAAGTTTTGTCTTAAAACACTCAATACATACGTATGAAACAAATAACAATTGTACATTATTGTATAAATAACTACTTTTAATTGCTAGCCATCAATAATTCACACGTTCAAAATTTATTTATAATTTATAAATTTGCTAACAATACTTAACCGTAATTTAATATTACAAAATTAATGAACTAGCAAATATTTGTAATTTCAATCCTAATCTAACCAGGTAAGTTTGTTACAAGTGGACAACTGCACGTTACACACGACGTGTGAAGCCTGTTTGACGGCTGCTGATCCATTTTGTGGCTGGTGTAGTAAGAAGAGATTGTGAGTTGACGTTGTTGTTGGAGTTGTTGTTAGTGTTGTTGTTGTTGGCGTATATTTTGTTGGTTGTGTTGGCGCTGTTGTAAATGTTTTAATTTCAATTAATTAAATTTATTGTAAAATGCTTGAAACTTCATTTATTTTTACAAATTTTTTGTTGAAAAATTTAATTAGCCAAAAATGATGAATTAATTGTTTCATTTTTACCCGCTAAAATGAAAAAATACTTTTGTGTCAGTAAATAACAACATAATTGCAACTTAGCAATAAATAACCATTGGAGAATGAAATAAATAAGAAACATAAATGGTCTGTGACCAGAGAAATTTTGTGTTGTGAGCTGATAACAATAAACGCTAGTAATAATATTGTTTGTTGATACTGAACAACGACGACAATTATAAAAACAATAACATAAACATTATCAAAAACACTGGCATAATCAACAGCATTTATCACATTAACATAAACAACAACAATTGTATCATATCATATTAGCATAAACAACAACATCAGCATAACAAACAACAACATTTAAATTATATCATATTACCGTAAACAACAATATTGACATAAACAACAGCATTTATATCATATCAAATAAACAACAACAATTATGGTATCTCCATCTACATAAACAACAATAACATTAACGTTAAGCACAATAGAATTATTAACAATTATATTTCCAATGTAAAAATGTGTATATTATTTTATTATGAAAAACATTCTTATCGTTATTGGGAACAAAAACAATTATTGTCAAAAAATAATTCCATATCGGTATGTATTTTTCCATCCAAACATAAAAAATAATTTTATTGTCAACATCCAAACCTATTGAAAAATTATTAATCTATCAAAAAAAACGACTGGAAAAGTAATTAGTAGACTACTTCTACTACTCGTGTTTTACTATTAAAGTATCATTTTGAATAACGAGACAACAGTTTTTTTTGACAAAAGTTAATTGTTGCAAATTCCATTTAAATGATGATCATTAATTTAAGAAATTGAATTATAAAAGAGTTCATTCATTTTCAACGGGTATAATTAATGAATGAAGATATTTTGACAAACAACAATTGTGCATTGATACGGTTCAAAAAGTGTTTGCTCAAAACTTTACGCTCAAATATGGCTCCTATACACCAAACTGCATATTATAACATTAGAATGAACGTAGTTGCCACATTAGTAATATTGTTACTGCACTTCTAAAAATTGTATCTGGAATATTAATGGTAGTAGGAGTAAAAACACAAGTAGCAGCCGTAGTGTAACTACCAGCAATTGTGGTAGCAATAGTAGCATCACTTGTAGTATTAGCAGTATTTGCATTAATAAAGAGTAGTTGTAGTATTAAAAGATGTAGTATTATAAGAATAGTAGTAGAAGCAGTAGCCACAAAATTGTAATAGTAGTAGTAGTGGCAGTCGACGTGGAGATGTTAGGTCCAGATTAGAAACACGTGCATTGAATCAACTTCGGTGCCGTAAATTTCGACCGATTGCGATCGCTGACAACTTCAGCCTAAACGGACAACGTCGCATGTTTATAGGGTTGAAGCCAAAATGGTTTCATAACGTTACTCCAGGGTGGTTGGCTGCGGTGTGCCTGCGTATGTTTTGCAATAAAAATTGTTTAAGGAAACTCATTTATAAAACCAAAATGACAAGTTATTTGGATAACATTTTCTTGCAAAGGTTTGAAATAATGTCATTTATATTAAAATATGCATTAAAAAATTAATAATAAATGAGGGACAATTTTTATGATTGGTTATAAAAATTAACTATTGGTGATGACAAAGATGATGGTGATGATGAAACAATGGTGATGACGAAGATGACGACGATGGTGATAATTAATGATGATGATGTCGACAGTGCATATTCATAATGATGAGAACGACATTTATTTGGACATGACAACAAAAAAAATAACGAAAAAATAATTTTCGAGAAAACAGTTATAACATTAAACTGGTTTATTTAATAAAATAATAAAAAGTAGACCAGAAAATAGATCTTTGAATTTTCTAAACTGTCTTTTTTGACCTGTCACAAATTTTCATTTGCAAATCATGTTTAATACCTATTATCCTTTCCGGCGTTTTTTAAATATATTCAATTTTATTTTATTTTTCCTACTACTAATAATTATTAAAATTGAATATTGTAAATTGTTTCTCAAATTTGATAGAATGTGCGATATTTTATTGTAACTTCTACGAAAGGTGATGATGCTATTTGAAACAGGTGTACAAATGAATATGAATGTCTCATGGACGACCACAACAACAACAACAACAACAACAACAACAACAACAACAACAACAACAATAATAATAATAATAAAAACAAGCGCAACCAAGTTAACAAAAACCGCAAAAACTACAACGGCACCAGAGATCGAGATAATGCTGATAACGGTTACGACAGCATGCACAATCAGAAGTACAAACAACATCTTGCCAGATATGATGACGGGGTTTACGCTGATGACAATGATGACGATGGTGACGACGACGACTTTGATGGTGATGATGATGATGGAGATGATAACGCAGGTGATGGCTCTGATGTAGATGGACATAATGAGGAATGGTTTTCACACACGGATGACAAATGCGCCAAACTTGTCTCCTTCTTTCCTAAACACTTGCAAATGCAGAGTGCTACAGACGCTCCTGCCATGCGGGCCACTTCTCAAACTTCTACCAAGGTTTGCATTGGTTGAGTGTCACCGCTTTTAAAATATTTTTGCTACAGTGTTTTTAATTCTACCGTCAAAATGTTTAAATATTTTAATATTTCACTTTAATTGCTATTTATTTTTTGTTAATTAATTTTTAATTTTGTATTTCTTAACAGAAAATTGAGTTAGCGATTGAAAACCTGCCACTGAGCGAGTCCTACCTGTGCATGTTCAATCTCAGAAGTAGCAACTACAACAACGCCAGCAACTCCAACTTACACAACATCATCAACAACGTGGCAAACCTTGACAGAAAAAATGTCAAAATGAAAAATCAGAATGTCAATGCCCATATTAACAATGTTACGAAAAAAAATAACGGAGTTAAGATGAACAAAATCAGGAACAACATCGCTAAAAACAACACCAACAATAACAAAATCATTTACAACAACACCAGCAGTTTCGACGGAACCAACAAAACCTTTCAATCACAGGCAAGAATCGTTGTCAACAGCAGAACAAAAAATTTTAAAAATAACTCCACCAACCACAACAACAATAACCACAGCAACAATAGCAACAACAACAACAGCAGAAACATTAACGCGGGAAACAACAAAGGAAAACAGACCTTATTGCAGTGCAGTGTACCAATTTCTATGCTAAATAAAGCGAATGAAGAATCAAGTTAGTGCATTGTGTGCTATGCAGGGTCGTTAAATGCACACTTAAACGTAAACGCATGCAAATGCATCCAACATCACTTACATAAATTTACACAAATAGATAGAGGCATTCAATCAGACATAAACGCTGACGTTAACATGTGAATTTTGAATTTATGACGCCGTGAAACACGCTCAATGGCACAAAATTACGCGCTGCTAATCATAAAACTTTGTTTAACATATTTGAAATTGTTAAACAACATTTACAAAAACTTCATCACGAAATATAGCAAACAATATACAAAACAATGTTAAACAACAACATAAACTTTTGAAATGAATGAGTCGTAGTTCGCAAATTGAATGTGGCTGATGTGAAGAGAATTCTGCTGAAGCGAAAACAGTATAATCAGGTGGCTATCGATTCATCTCAATGAAGTTTCAGATTTTTATATTACAATGCAATGTGTGTGCAGTGCATGCATGAAATCAAGAGGGTTAGAAAGTTGTTGAATAAATTTCAATGCCTCATTATTATGTGACACAAAGAAGCCTATCTTGTCTATTCTTTATTCAACAATTTTCGAACATTCCATGCCCGAAGAATTAAGAATTTTAATTGGCCTTAAGCTATGGAATTGAAGATAACTAAACTAAATAAAAAATTGTGATATCAATTATTAATATAATAACTTAAAGAAGAGAGAGAGAGAAAGAACGAAGTAAAAACGACAGCAAAAGAGAGAAGGAAAAAAAAGCTGGGTTGCAATTTGGTTAGTATAATAATAGGATGTCTGATGTCAGATCGGATGAACAATTATCTCCTTTCATCTTCAGCCTGCACCGTCAAAGTCCTCTGAAGCATCTATTTTCCAGCTATTTTTCTGTTGTTTTCATTTTTCTGATTTGTATTGAATAATGAAATTATTTAATTTGATCAGTTAATAAATAGATCAATCAGTCAATCAATCAATTAATCAACAAGTCAATCAATTCTTTGATCTCACCCGTACATTTCAATTAATCAGCACTTGACAAATATTGACTTGGCATTCGACATATGTCGTCCTTATTCACTTTTACTACTATTACATAATAATAATTTTTCCTATCTACCTAAATTTTCTTTTGTTTTGCTTTACGTTCGCATTATATCTGCATGCTCTATTTTCCTTTTTCTTATACAAAATTGTATTTAAAAGTGAACTCGCATATAAGTGTGATGTATTACAGTGTTAAATATTTATTTGTATGTGGCCGCTGGAGACACCGGCATGGATGCTGACGGACGTGGAATTCTTTCTTTCCAACTCTGCCTATTGTTTTTCACTGTTTTCTCTTCTTTTTGCTTTTTCCATTTTAAATTTTCATTTTTGTTTTCCTTGCTTTTCTGTTTGCTTTTTTACTTTTTCTTACTTTTATACGACTCTATGTTTGCATCATGTAACTTTAGGTTTGTATCATGTAACTCTATGTTTGTATCATTTAACTTTACGTTTATATCATGTATCATGAAACTTTTTGTTTGTATCATATAATTTGAGGTTTGTATCATGAAACTTCATTTAGATACGATGTTACTTTATATTTAAATCATTTTGTTTGCCACCCTAGAATTTTATTTCCTTTTTATGAGCTAGCAAACGTTTCATTGTGTTGAGACATGCATGTTTGTCTAGTAATTGTACTTACAAAAGGTGTACTTTGTATGTTAGTGCATGTCTTCTAATGATAGATCTGCCCTGTTTGAACTTGTTTAACTCTGCACTTTGGCGTGGGTTTTGGCTTATGTGCGCTTACATGTACGTGTATGTGTACGTACATGTATGTGTGTATGTTTACATGCGTGTGTGTGTGTGTGTGTGTGCGTGTGTTTATACTTGGAAATGTATGTTTCTAGTATGTAACCGTATTAAATTTGTAGGTTGCTAATGGGTGCATTCGTGGTTTCTGTTTTTACTTGTGAGTGTTTGTGAGTTAGTTTTTGCGTATTTAAATGTATTTGTGGGTATTTTTGGAAATTTGTGTGTGTGCCAGAGTAGGGCGATTTGGAATGATGATTGATCATTCATGCAAACAACCTACATGCAGGCCTGTTGTTTCAAGTTTTGTTTTTAATTATATTAAATACAAAAAATATGTTCTTTTTATAATTTTTTTCAAAAAGTTTTGCTCATTTCGTGAGATTTTTTAAAATTTTTAATAATTTTTTGGTTTTTTAATTGTTTGTTGCATTAGGTTAATACTATTTTATTCTTTGTGATGCAGGAGAATGCGTGCGATGTGTTTTGCTTGTGTGATCTATTATGAATCAGTGCCTTTCAAAAGTCCATTGATCATTTTTTGCCCATTATTATTTTCGTGGAATTCTGTCGTATAACCAAATTTCCTTTCATGACTTTTTAATTTCATTTTTCAAGTAAAGAACAGATTGTTGCATTAAAAAATTTATTAGTACTGATCAATAATTTAGAAATTTTTTCTAATATTTTTTAAGAACATTCCCCAACTTGGTACATCGTGTACATGCATGGTACGTCGTGCAAACACCAGCATACTTAGTTGAACAACTTTGACACGAAGTTTCTCCTTCCACATTCTTGTCCCTAAAATTTTATAATTAATACAACCAAACGTCTAACTAAATTTGATTTAATAACCCAACTGCAACCAGAAATACTTCATTGCTTATTGGGCAGCCTGGCAAACGTATGTTGAGCTGCTCAAACGTTCTTCGTTACTTAAATAGCAGAGATGTACATCAATTACTATCATGATAATAAGCACAAGAAGTAGGATCGCACTTGAGTGTGGGACAAGTACGATTTGAACCAGGCCACCTCGCACTAACAACATTGTCGGACATGATACTTCTTTTTCAACCATAAAATTTAAGCAAAAATTTAATACAAACGCGCACAATCAAGCGTTTAGACATATTCACACAGAAAACATCCAAACATGAAGTCACACACACAATTACACACACTGAAACATAAGAACACATACTCATTGTGCACAATCATCGGCGTCCGAAGCGTACAAAAAATTGTTGTATAGTGCATAAAAGAAGTTGATTTATGAGAGTTGTTGGACTCAACATCTTGTTAGCCTTACATTCTCTCATCGCATATGCGTGTACTGTACCTGATTGTTTCTGTGCAGATGTGTACGTGTGTGTGTTATTATTTTTGCGTGTCTTTGTTCACATGAACGCATGTATGCATGTGTTTGTATGCTTATGTATGTGTGTGTATCATTATGTATGTGCGTATTCTTGTGTACGTGTATTTATTCTTATGTGTGTTTATGTATTTTCACCGGAGCGTTTTATATGTATGTATGTATGTGTCTATACAATCCTTGTTTTGTTACGGTTTACTGTTGACGAGACCGTTGGTGTGTTTCGATGGTTTTGATGGAGATGCTGCTGCTGATGATGATTTTGTTGTTGTTGTTGTTGTTGATGATGATGATGATAAGGGTGATGATGATGATAGTGATGATGAAGAAGTTAAGTCTGGTAAGCCAGAGTAAGCTTTGGTTGTTGTTGATGGCTGATGTTGTTTTTGTTGGTAAACGATATTGTTATTAGTGAAAGATGGTCTGGTTGTTGTGAGTTGTTAATGTTGTTGTTGTCCCTGTTGATGTTGGTTGTTGTTGTTGCTGATAATGATGTGGTTGTTGTTTGTCGTTTTGTTGTTAACGTTGTTGTTGTTGTTGACGTTGTTTTTCGTCATCTTTTTAAATTTTAATGTTAATGGCGCAATGTATTAGAGTTTGTTTTTTCACGTAATGCAGTTGTTGCTCTTAAAGAAGTGTATTTTATTCACAATGAAAATATGTTATCGTTTGTGATGGAATATCATCACTGATTCAATCTAAACATATCTGTTCATGAAATTATTACGCTATTACATTCCAAAGGTCGTTTTCAACAAAGAATAACAGAACAGGAAAACATTTGAAGAGTTTTAATACAAAAATTGTATTAAAACAAAACTTGTATGTTCATCGTTCAGAAATGTTTTACTTTTTATTATATGAGTTGAGTATTTTTTAATGCATATATACAGAAGATATGAATTATTCTATAGCAATGGTGAAACAATTAATTCAATGACAGATTGAATAAAAATCTAGTTTCTATTTTTAATTCTTTCTATTTGTTATTATTAATACGGTGAAAATGTTTTTTTAGAAAACATTAATTCCTAGCAAGTCGAAACAAACAAACAAATGTGTCAAAAAGGATCTAATTGAACACGTACTAAAAAAAGAAGAATACATAGGAATGATAAATTTTTTACATGACTAAAAAAAATTCAATTTACTTTTTTGCTTGTGTGGCTCGTTCAATTGTTTACAATCTGATGAACAGTTTCTAGAATAATTTTTTATAAAAAAAATTGAGAATAATTTTTTTGTGGGTTTTTATCAAAGTTCATCACGAAAATATAAATATTTATTTAGATGTAAGATAACTATTGATAGATAGGTAAGGCAGTCATTACAGTGTTCATTCAAGCCGAATAATTTAACCATACTTTTAAAAACGATTTAAACGTTTGAAATAAAATTTTTAAATACAAATATACATTTTCTTATAATTGAAATACTAATATTAAATATTTTTTATTTTACTTTTTTCTAAGAATTTTTAAAATTTTCTCATTAAATTTTTGTTATATGTCTCTGGAGTTGTATTTTGTCAGAGGTAGTACTAGCAACTTCATAAATATTTTCCATTACTGACCTTTTTTTTTGAAAAGTCATTTATTTAAACAAAATTCAAACCTATAAAACATTCCAACATTTAAAAATAAACGTTTCGTATACATTTAAATGTTTTTTAAACACACAAATTAAACACTAATTATGTTGATTAAAAACAAAAGATTCAAAATTCATTCTCCAAATATCTGTAGAACAAAAAATTTAGAAAAAAAAACACTTAACAACCAACTAAAAAAAATAATAAAACGCAAAACATAGACCACAAAATAAAAACAAACACGTTAAAAAAAGACAAAAAAAGAGAAAGAAAGAAAACAAACCTAACGACATTACTCAAATCACGTGATTGGATAACAACGGTGACGTCACCGGTAATAGAAAAAGATGGAAAGAATGAGGAAGAAATGTTGGAAGAGGATAGAGTGAGAGATTAAAAAGAAGATAAATGGATGATGAGAGGAAATGCGAGTTGGTCAAAAAAAAAATGAATTGTACGTAAGGATGACTGAGAAACAAGACGATGGTAAATAACTCGGAAAGAAAGTAAAAGATGAATGACTTTGTAAGATGAATAGATTGTAAAATAAATAATGAATGAATGAAGTATGTTGAAAAGGACAAATGAAAAAATAATCTGATAGAAAGAATGAGAAGAAAATGTTGATTGGTGGCAGGAGTGAAAAATGAAATGTTGTTTTAAACGAAGGATTTGCAAAGAAAAAAAGGGTTCAATGTTTGACATCACGCATTTTTTAAGTTTGCAACAATTTGAAGTGTCTGATGTTCACTCTGATTTCCTTTGATGATGGATTCAACAATTTTCAGATTCGTAAAGTTCAATTTTATTATTATCCTAATTATCGCTATTATTACTTTTATTATTTATTTTAGTTTCTAATACTTTTAATGATGTTAACAAAGTTGTTAACCTTAAAGTTGATCGAAGTTTTTGTTTGGCTTGATGATTTCCATTGATTTGTGATAAATGTTTCAAAAATTCAAAATTGATTACAAATAATAAAAATTCCTACCAAACTTGAACGATGAAATAGAAAAATTTACAATTTCAAATTTATTTTTTAGTTATTAACTTTTTAAATTAATTAAAATAACTATGACATTAAAAGTTAAATTTTGTCAAAAATAAAACTAAAGAAGTTATATCAGATAAATTATTTATTCATAACATTTTATTTTTGTTATAAGGCAATTCCTTAGCTATAAATTTTGTGATAAATTTGAAGTAACTCAGACGAATACAATTTTTTTACTTTAATTTATTTTAATTAAATAAATTTTATGACCGTGAGTAAACAATTGAATTAAAATTTTACTCCAGCCAAAGAAAATAAAATTAAATTTTTAGTTTTTTGAACAAAATAAGGCGAAAAAATTCAGTTTCATTATTTCAAGGAAGCGCAAACATAAAAAAAAATATTTTTTTCGGCTTTTATTGGCCATGTAATATTTTTTGTGGCGATGTTTGCTGTATTAATACATTGGATTTAATACTGTGATCGAACTCATATTTTTTTATATTTTTGTTATTAAAAATATTTCAGTCAAATTTATTTATTAATTTTCAAATTAATTCATAATACACATTTAAATTGATATATTAAATATATATAATGGTTACAAAATAATTAATTTACACAATATAAATATATAAAGGATAGGTATTGTATCAGTTGTGAGGTTTTGTCGGTTGGTTGTAGAAATACGCGTAAATGTTGGAAGGAGACCATATTATATACAATATTGTACAGTACTGTGTAAAATATGGTTTTCTTCCAGCATATATATATAGGTATATATACTGCCAAAACAACACCAACACATACACACTACAAACCATAATTGACCACCAACATGCAACACATCACACAACACCACAGCACTTCAAGCATTATTCAGTTTTAGTAAAAAGTTTTAAAAATGTTTCTCTCCATTTCCCATTAGTAAAAGATGATCACGTGACAGTTGACCTCTCTCTGGTGACCTATGACCTCTCTGACGTCATTAGAACCAACTTCACTCTTTTCGATTGTTCTCGATACAATACGTAAGTTTTGTTGCATATTTTATTTTCCAAACGAAATCTTCTGTACACATTTGTGCTGCAGTATTGCAAATATTTGAGCAGACCGGAAAAAAATTATTTAAAACTCAGAAAGAATAATTAGACACGCACAGCTGTCTATTGATTTTTTTATTGACCGTTGTAAAGAAAAATTTTTGCCAAACGCAATCAAGTTTTTTACAGAACGCAAAGCAGTTTATGATGAAGTACATCCGCACGGCGCTCGATGCTATCGCGAATAATGATCACGTAAAAATAAGTCGACCCGCTAACTGATAAAAAAAACGCAAAACAATCAAAAGCGAAAATAGATAGAATCTTTTGAAAATAGATGACAGCATCGCATCTCAATGAAAAAATGATGTTATCGTCAAAGAACACACTGAACATCGTACGACAATTAACATCTTCAGAAGTACATCTATTCGTCCTTCCTTCGCTTGTTCTTCGTATGTTCTTCGTATGTTCTTCGTTTGTTGTTCGTCTGTTGTTTGTCTGTTGTTTGTTTTTTGTTTGTCGTTCGCTGTGTCTTGAATGGTGGTTGTTGTGTTGTTGCAGCAGCTTAGTGTCGTCGACACGAGCTGAGGTGGTCCTCGTCGGTGAAATGCGACAACGCGGAATAAAATTGTCTGTTAAAAAGTTTTAACCATAAGTACATTCTTTTGTTTGGCGCATTCAGCTTTCAATTTTTTAAAATCACTAAAATTTTTGTTATTTACAACCAAAGATACATATTTTATACATATATTATTTTTTAAAAACTAAGTTGCCTAAATAGCATTCCAAGTTTTAAAAATCATATGCCATATTTTATATAAATTACTTACAGAATAAACAATAGGAATTTAGCATTAAGCAAATATTATACGATTGTATGATTTATGGTTGTTCAACCGAAAGTTGCTGGCAGTGCACGAGAAGTGTCTACGGATGCAAATGGTGTCTCAAAACAAGTGCCTGTATTGCTGATAACATTCGCAAACATCGTGATGGTGATGACGACAACGATGATGTCTACGATGGCGATTTTTATGGTGATGATGGTGACATCAGCAACGACTCTACAACCGGAGAAAGTGGTAAAAATGGAAAAATGGAAGAGGATGAAGGAGTCGATGATGATGAAGAATGCTCTGCAGATGCTCTTAAATATGGAATAAAAGTTGGTTCTATTTTCGTGTGTTTAATTAAAATTAAAAACATTTAAAATGTTTTTTTTGTTTTAGTATGATAAAAGTAGAAAACTATTTAAACAGCAGCAGCAATCGGAGAGAAGTAGAGAGCCCAGGACGAAATTCGAACGACTGTGCTTTAATTTATTAGCTGCAGCAGATGGTGCAATTAACCTCTGCAATGATGTAGCGACACAACTCATGTTCAATATGATTGAATTTCGCATGATTTATGCTGCTAGCGGAGCGTTCCGTTCGACTTGCAGGCTTGCGTTTCGTGTGCGTCACATGTGCTGTTGGATTAATTCTATTGCTGTTGTTTTCGTGTTGATGCTGTTGTTGTTTATGTTCAATGTAATATTTTTAAGTCATTGGGATTTTAGGATTAAATTGAATAATTTTTCAACAATTATTCTAGATATATTGATTTGATTAAATGAAACCAAAATTATCCATTCGTTTTTGGTGATTGAAGATGTCAAATCTGTACACATTAATAAAATTATAAATGAAAAAATTGACTTCTAAGATGATTGAATATGAGACTGGATTAAAAAAAACAAAAACAATACCGTTTAATAAAATTAATAAGAAGCCTCAATACGATTTCATGTCATGATGTTGCACTGAAAAAGAGAAATAAATTTATTGATATTTTTTTGAAGAAAAAGAAGTTCTTGAATTTTATAAATTTTCATTTATTGAATTTATTTCTTTGTTTCAATTAAATTTATTCACATCAAATCTAAATTTATCGTATCAATTTTAAATAAAAATTTCATAAATAAATTCAAAAGCAAAATTTATTAAATTTTTTTACGAATAAAATCAAATATTTTCGAAAATTTCCGACAGACAAAAAAACTGGAAAAAGAAAAAGCACTTCCTCTGTCGCGGTCAGCCATGCAATCTGTCAGATCTAAAAAGAGTTACAACTGCCCTGCGATACAGAACTTAACAAAAAATCCTCAACTAAACTGGCAACAACAACAACAACAAACGTCACGACTACTACCACCTCAAATACGACAACATCAGCAACCGTTGCAGCCACACGTAACACAAAACCATCAACCGAAGCAGTTGCAGCAGCAACCACATGCCGATGTTGTGGTAGCGTCCGGGGAAGAGGCCGTCATTGAGATGACACTCGTACATATCATGGTATTATAAATCTCTTTTTTTTTACGAAATGTTTTATAAAATGACCAAAAATATTTTTATGACAAATATATCATTGATCATTTAATAAAAAAAAATTATTAATCTTATAGATATGTTTATAAACTTGAATTTTGTTAGATTAGGCATGTATTGTGAAAATTGTAAAATTAAATAGCGTTCAATCACCAAATAACATATCTAAACAAAGCGTTCATTTTTCAAATTCATTAAAACTGCAACCAACAAATAAACAATAACAAATTACCGATACTTGAACATAAAACCCATCTCTATCCTACCAACCAAACATCCAAAAACTCATAAAAATTATCCAGTTTTTATCCTCTGCACCAATAAAATGGATTATAACTGAATATTGTTATCCATAAAATGGATTCTCTGGAATACCGCAAAGGATTAACTAGTGAACTCTAGGTTGGGAAAAGCACAGTTACTATTAGTTATGTACCGGCGACGATGTTATGTGTGAAATCTGTTCATCTGTTAGATGGAATGTTTGTAGTGTTATAAAAAGTTTTTAGGTAAAAATGATATGGGATGGTGAGATAACTTGTATTTATTCTAAATACGTTGCTCTCTTACTACCCAGCAAACTAACAAACAAACGTCAAAGATCAATCATCAATTTCGATCTAATGTCTCAAATAATATACATCAACTCGCTAGCAAATCTGCACTTGCTACTAGAAGATTTACCTTTGGCTCTCCATCTTTGTGGAGCAGTCCACTCCCACCCGCCAGACAACAACCGTCTCCTAAACTGTACAAAAAACATTCAAAGCATCGTTTGTTTCAGCAGGCATCTCTGGTTGTGACCTTCATTCATAGATGGCAACTTATCCTGAGCGCATAGGACGTTGTGTTAAATGACACATTGTTATTATTATTATTATTGCTATTATTACTACTACTTCTATTATTATTATTATTATTATTATTATTATCATCATCATTATTATTATTATTATTATTGTTGTTGTTATTATTATTATTATTATTATTATTATTATTATTATTAACAAATTATCACTTAACCACTATCTTAAGCAGCAGCAGCAACTGCATCATTGTCATCATCATCATCATCTCACCACTCATCTACTCCATCTTCATTACCCCAATTGTTGCCAGTCACCTGATCGCTTACTCGTGACGACACGAACTCCTCGAAGAGGAGAGGAGGTGGAGGGAAGAGGAGGAGGCAGGCGAAGACGTTTGATGAGCATGAAGGCACCCACCACATAGCAACGCCCAACCAGCAGCTGCTTTGTGTTGCACATTCTATATTGTTTCAACGTTTAATATTTGTCGCCCGTCTTGTATTTCTTAAAAATGTGTAAAAATCAAATTCCAACTGTTCCATGCCCAATGAAAATTCACAAGTTAGGTTCACTACATTCAAGTACGCTCACAAACATTAATGTGACACACAGTTGCGCTTCTAAATGTTCATTTTTACAGCCGTATATAGTGAAACAGCAGAGTAAGTAATATGTTTCACGCCTACAACACAATGTGTTCTGAATTATTTAATGAATAATGATTTAACTTCAACAATTAAACCTTAAATGAAAGTTGTTCGAGTTTCAAAGATGCATGCCAATCCTAGGAACGTCAACAAAGCTAACCGAAAGTATTTTTCACAGTTTTAATTATTGTTAAAATTATAATAAAAATTGCTCAAAATACAAACACGTAGAGGAAAAATAAATTTCAACATGCAACAGAAGCAGAATGCAACCAATAAGCGACAAATCAGCAATAAACTTGACAAAGCTAAACACAAGAAACAAAAATATACAACCTAAGCAACCAGACAACGGCTTCCTGAAACACACAAATTTGTGTAGATCTCCACACAAAGAGGCTGGGGGCGGACAGGCGGACAGCACATCTCATGAGAAGGCCTGGTACGGCGAGTCTGACAGACTGTGATGGCGCGTTGATCATAATTAGATGAATTGCACAGAGCGACAACGATAATGATAGCTAGGATAATGAGAATAATCATAATAAGGATGAAATAATCATAATAAAAATAAATTAATCATAATGAAAATATTATTATTGCGATGGTAGACAAATGCATTAACACACATACACGTCCTAAATATTGAATAAGTGGGTGCACCTGCACATGCACATATACATGTACTTGTATGGTAGAGCGATAGACACATATACTCAGAGCACATACACATTACACATACAAACCTCATTATTTCACCATACCTCACCTACAGGACACACAAACACACACACACAAACACTAACACACACACACACACACATACAGGACACACACATTCATCGACACACGTTATCGTGATTGGGCTCATTTGCATGGTGATTTCGTGCCCCCATCAGCCACACACATCAATCACCCAACTATTTTGCATCAACATTATCGCAACAGAAATTTTTTTTATTTCATTTATTCTTAATTCGAATGTGGCTTTTTAGGTTTTTCTTGGAGGAAATATAACAATTTTTATTGTTTGTTGGTTTTGAGATTGATGTGTTTTGTGAAGGTTAATGATAATTTGGTGTAGTATTCGTTTGGATATTATGTCTCCACGAAAAAAAAGGATAAAATTATCATAAGTTATTCCCATCTAATCGGAAAGTTTCTGTTTGCAGGAGTTATAAAAAAACAACTTCTGCTTCTAACAATTTGGTTCTAAATTGCGTAAAAGTTGGTGCAACAACCTTCATATTTTAAAACAAAAGATGGAATATTGTTTTATCAGACGAAAAGAAATTTGAGATTCCAATTGAAAAACAAACAAACACAGACGAGCACATGGTAATGTTCTTACATTACAAACATTTAGACGTTTACTCACACGCTCACATGTTAAAAATTTACTTTACTTAAAATTTAAAAACCTTTGAAGAATAAATAAGTTTTTTTATAAATTTTGGCTTAAAATATTGATGACAAATATACTTTTAAAAATGCCGAACTGTTCAACAATTTTTGATCTAATAACTTGAGCGTATGGAGAACGATCAAAAGTTAAATTCATTCGTGTGTATACTCACTAGGGTGGTTACAACGCTATATGTAAATAAAAAAAATTTCGAAATCTTATCGGGGGAACCCCCTAAATTGTGCCACTTGACTAAAAAATGACATTTGTAAAGTTTTAGCTCAATTGGATAATGCTAACCCGTGCCTCATCGAGGTTGAAATTTCGAAAAATTGGAAAATTTTGAAAAAAAACGCAGTTTTTGCTTTGTAAAATAAAAACGGTTCACTCTAGAAACATAATTTTGGTTTTATTTTGTTTATTGATTAGTTTTCTTCAAATGTTACTATGATCTCTATTTAGCTACAAGTTATAGTTTCTGACATATTTGCATTGTTACAGACACACATTGAAAAAACGTTGAATTTCTCTATAACACAAAAACACACAATAACTTATAAAGAAATGTTTTTAACGTTTCAACGAAAAACATGTTATAATTGTAAACAAACATGGTTAAACGGTAGAAAAAGGGAAATAAACAAAACGACAGACCAAAAACCTTGACAAATAAGTTGACAAAAGATGTATCTAGGCGCACAAAAAACAATAATTTGGTCTTTTTAAAATTTTTTGTTTTTTTTTTTTACGTGAGATCACTCGAGCAAGTTTTCTTCATATGTTTCCTTCTTGGAATTTTGGCAATTTATTCAATTAAAATTCAATTATACAAATTTTCTAAATTGTCAACAACTTTGAAATGATGGTGATTTATGATGATTACATTTATGATTACGCGATGATGACATTTATGATGATTAACATTTACAGTTAATGAAGTTACGTTGATAAACATTTAGGAAGAGAATGACCACAAAAAAAATGATATTTGGTTGGAAGTTTATTATCTGCTAAAGAGTTACGAATTGTAAACATTTGTAGGAAACATAAATATCAGTATTCTCCTTGTAACGACACGCGTTCATAAGCTCTATCAACTATCAACCTCATTCATCATTTCACCATTCAAAGCATCCGTTTGACAGTTTCGAATTTAAAAAAAAAATCTTTTTCTACAACTTTGAATTAACTTTTTGAAAAAACACGATTTGAAGTTTTTGAACAAAAATTTTAAATTTTTGAAGAATTTTCAGACAAACTTCAAGTGCTTGTTCAACGTTAACGGAAGTCAGGTGTTGAAAGGTGCTACAATCTCAAACAGAAGCAAGGCGGCTCTGAACAACTTGACATCATCCATTCATATCGTATGTGATTCTATCAAAGTTAGTTCACTTTTTCCAAATATTTAGTTTTTATTTTCTTCCGTTAAATATTTCTCTTGCAACATGTATTATTTCTGTTGTTTATGATTTTACTATATTGATTATAGTTCTCCACCATGTAATATTGGTTATTGTTAAACAGCTGTTTATCAGCTTATAAAATAATGAAAGTACGCATAGCCTTGGGTCGGTTTCATCTTTATCGTTTGTTTTCAGATTTAAAAGTGAACAAGCAATATTAAGCATATGTTAACGTTGAATGTTACTAATATGTCGATTGAATTGAATCTCACTAATTTACATTCCTGATTCTCGACTTCTGCCTTGATCTTGTTCTTCCGGCTGTCAACTGGTTACTTTAACTATATCATTGTTTCCTTTCTTTCCCTCTGCCTAGTTTCAGCCAAGCCCTTTTATACTTACTATTTTGAGTTATGCCGTCTATTTACTTATGTTAAATGCATGGCATACGTATATGTTTAACTTAACTAAATTTAAGGATGTGATGTATGTTTGAGGTGTGTCTTTTAACAATTTAGATTGATTTTTAAAATAATTGATCATTGATTGATAAAAATATTTTTAACAAATTTTTATTATCATTTAATTTTCAATGAGCATTCAAACACTAAAAAAATTTTTTTTTTGATGAAACTTGTCAACATTAAATTTTTTCAAGTATGATCATTTTATATTCTCAAACAATTTTGCTTGTCGGGCTAATTAATTCGAG